GAATAGATTTTGATTGCTTCCACTTATTTAGTAGTCACTCATGTGACTAAGTTCTTACAAATGTGCTTACCTAGTCACAAAGGTAATATAATTTAACGAAGACGGCAACAGTGAGTAGATGATTGGTGTTTGGACTGGAGGTCCGAAATGAGGTACAAGTTTTGGTCAAGGAGTTTGAATATATGCGAAGACAAGAAATCTCTTGTTTCATAATTGTTGAGCTCACTTCCATTTCGAGCGGAAGTGTTGCGTGAAGAGATTCGAAGGTCGGTTCCACCAGAAGACGATTGCGGATTCCTCTTGACCAGCTGCCGATTGGCTCTACTGGAAGATTCGTGCAGACGCTGTTTCCGAGGTGATCACCTTCGATTCCGGTGAAAAGGTACTAAGCTTTCGTCCGTCACATGACGAGCATCATCAGACCAAGGTATCATCGTCACAACAAAAATGAAGCAAAGAGTCAAGAAAACTTCTTTACCAGCTGTCGATTGGCTTTACTGGAAGATTCATGCTGACGCTGTTTCCACACTTTAACTCAAAATGGAAGTTTTCTTGACTCGTTTGCTTGCATTTTTTTGTGACGATGATACCTTGCTCTGATGATGTTCGTCTTGTGACGGACGACAGTTTAGCCTCTTTTCATCGGAATCGAAGGAGATTGCCCCGGAAACAGCGTCAGCATTAATGTTCTAGTAAAGCTAATCGACAGCTGGTCAAGAGGACTCCGCCGTCGTCTTCTGGTGGAACCGACCTTTGAATCTCTTCACTCGAAATGGAAGTAAGCTCAACAAGGAGTTTGAGGACTGGGGGTTCAATGGGGGCGAACAAAAATGACGCTATTAACTTTAGTGGAGATCAGAGTCGGCTGTGCGAATTGGAATTGGGAGATTTGGTACGCTCACAGGGGATGAGAACAGCTGTAGGAAATGGAAGAAGAGTTTCAGGAACTGCTCAACTCAAGGTTGGTGTTAAGGGATCACACGGCCTGTCACTTGAACGCAAAGTAGTTTGGGAGGTTGGTCCTTCTCTCCGGCGATGAAGACCAGCATGTATTCGAAACATGTGAGGGCATATCTGGTTGACATTTCAGGTGTGGACGAAGAGATGCCAAAAATGACAGAAATGACAGTAAAACATGCATTCTCCGGAGTTCTCAGTTCTGCAGGTCTAAATTGATGACGAGGAGTCTAATTACATTTTAGCCAACAAAATTGCCACCTATTCCAAAGTATAACAAGGCTCCCCTTCCAAGTCCAGGTACAGAAGTATTACCTGACTATATTTTTCACTATAAAATTTATTCAAAATGTACGCGATGTGTCATTTCACGACGTAAAACAATCTACAAATTATTTGGCTAAAAAGCAATTTTATTAAATCTGGCACACAGTTACCTCACATAGGAAGTGCATGTGATAATGAATAGAGGCATATTAGAATGTCAAGGACGGTATATCATAAGTTGCTGCGGGTGTGCTTGGGAAATTCAATTCTGCGCTGGAAATTGAAGTTTAGCAACGTAAGTGCTTAACTGAAGTGCACGAAAGGCGCAATTTGTATGCGTACGCTGATTTGTACACACTGATTCATTAAGAGGAAAGTATTTTTTCTCTTCCCAAGGGAGCCATGAAGCTGGTCATGATGAGCCGGAAGTGCACTTTGTAAGCCTTATCTATTCCTTTGGACAAGAGATAGCCAAGGAGCTTAATTAGTCCATATTGAAGATGTGGCTATAACCCCTTTTCAAAAGCCTCGCGAAAAGTTCACGTTCATGTTATCCCTATTCAGAAGCAACTTGTAAAATGGCTGTTTTCGAGAAATTTGACCAATTGTCGTTGCTTATCAACACTTCGCCTAGCCATCTCAGACTCGTAGGTGCCCCAAACCTTGACCTTTTATTTTACTTAAAATAAGTTTCGTTTCACTACTTTTCTCTTTGGCATCTAAGGCCTGGTGAAGTGAATGCTTTTTCAGAGGCTTGTTTACAACCCTACTTCTTGATACAGTAGAACGTATGGTTATGAGTGAATTCGGGTAGAATGACAAATTAAGTGTTTATGTGTCTAGGTCAAAGCGTAACAAGGAAACGGGTAAACTTCAGCTAAATATTCTGTGGTTAACCTGTGAAGCGTCCAAATGCATGGAGATTATACAAAATCTAGATTTTTATCTCACTTATATGCAAAATCATGTTCTAGGGGCACCTCGAATTCCTTTCAGGTAATTTTTTTTGAAAATGCTCCATCTTTTAAGCAACAATATACAATTCCCCTTTTGGAGACTATCATTAAACACACATATTTTGTGAAATAGTCCTGTAAAAAGGTCAAGCTAGTTTCCTTCACTAGCTTTGGAAAGTTCTGTACGCGGATTTAACTGGCTTAGAGATTGTCATATCAGGTCTGATATTCAGTCTTTCCGCCTATTCTCATGCTGCTTGTATGCATTGAAAATGAAGCCCTTCGAAGTTGCTCTCGATTTGTAACGCCACAGAGACAAGGGTTGAAGAAGACAGGCTTGATAGGACGGCTTACTTCGAAATCTTTGCTGAGCCTACCTCCATTCCGAGTGAAAGTGTTTGGCGAAAAGATTTCAAGGTCGATCCCACCAGAAGACGACGAGTCAAGGAAGCTTGACTCGTTAGCTTGAATATGATTGTAAGGATGATACTCTGATCTTATGATGTCCATCATACGATGGACAAAAGCTTGGCACGTTTTCATTGGAATCGAAGAAGATTGCCTCAGAAGCAGCGTCAAAAAGAATGTTCCAGTGAAGCCAATCGACAGCTGATCAAGAGGAATCCGCTGTCGTCTTCTGATGGGATCGACCTTCGAATCTCTTTACCGAACACTTCCGCTCGAAATGGAAGTAAGCTTATAAATTATGAAAAAAGAGATTCCCAAAAACCCAAATTTTCTTAGCATTTATTCCAACATCCTTTTATTTCATAGTCAGTACCCTTTTTGGTGTTGTATCTAAGGCAAGCCTTTTATGAAACTAATCTTGATGCTTCCAAGTTTCATTTCAAGACTATCTATTCTGGATCATAGAAGACATTTCTTCTTTGACTTGTTCCAATTCTCCAGGGCTTCAATGAGTTAGAATTAATCCTATTTTGCCATCCGGCTAAGTAGTTTTAAAGATCATGTTTTTATGAATTCTGCTCATTTCTTTTATTCCCAAAACTAAATTTAAGTGATGAGATGTATTCACCCAATTTCGTGTAAGGTGATGAAGGACTGGTAGTATAATTTTCCCACAATGATATGAGTTTAGCTGACTTTTCCATTGAATTTCACATAGCCTTGCTTTCCCAAAAATTGTTTCCTTCAACCTTGCTTTTTTCGACCAAAAGTTGTTGACGAAGGACTGGTAGAAGAATTTTCCCACAATGCTATGAGTTGAGCTGACGACCGGGTGGACTGCAGTTTCGACCTCGCATTGGTCTTATCAACACCCTCAGCGGGTGAATACATCTCATTACACTGATTTACTGGTAGTCTCGAAACCCTACTCAATTATGCCTATAAATTTAAGTGGTCTAGTAGTGTAGAATTTATCATAGTTAAGTCAATTTTGTGTAATATGAGGGTGTCTGATTTTTAGTTATATCTGTGTGTTTTCGGCCTCCAATGTTTGCTTTCTTCTAATCAAGCTTTCCGTTAATGTGTCATAATAATTGAATTAACCTTGAGTATATATATATATATATATATATATA